GTCAACGACAGCGGCGGCGCCGGTGGCGGCACAGGAAGACCGTTGAGTACGAAGTGTTTGATGAGTCGTTTGTATTGATTGAAAAATATGTCAAAAGCAATACCCGGGGTATGAGTGCTCGCTATCGGCGTGAGTATAGCCGCGCCGGCGCTTACGTAGACTGGCATTGGGTGTTAGACCGGCAGCTGTCCGGCCGCGGGTCCGGTAGGGGTCGCGGTTATGTCGAGGCCATTGATAGGACCGGCGAGTTGTTGAGAAAGTGTGAGCGCCGGGCGGTGGGCGACGATCGGGCGGCCATTGACGAGATCTACAGTCGGGTGCGACTACTGATTGAACTCCGGGAGAGGGAACTCGACCCGAGTCTGGCTCTGTTGGGTTGGGTTGTGTGGGGCGGACAGCGATACGATCGGCACAAGTATGTGGTCAACGCCTGGAAGAGTTTCCTGTGATTTATGTATCGATTCAACGATTGAAATACATTTTTGCTATTAATTTATAACTTATTACTACTTTTTATTGATATACTAAACTGTTATGAATTACAATCCATTGATTATAAATAATATGTTTTCTTAAATAAATGAATGTTTAATAAATTTCAAGAAGATTGTATTATTTTCCGTTTAATCCGATACACAAAACATCTCTCACTTCACGGCTCAACAATGGGTTTATAGAGAAAATATACAATTAATTTAAATTCAATATTTCGGGTCCAAAATTAGCGGACAAACGGTACGAACGCAAAGATGGCCAGCAATAGGAGACTTAATATAGAGATTCAGAATATGATGAAAGACAATAATCTGGAAAGAAATCATTACTGCATAGAACTCGTGGGCGAAACCAATTCACACCTGTTTGGCAAAATTGTTGGCCCGCCCGACACGCCCTTTCAAAGGGGTGTCTTCACTATTGATATCACTATACCCGACAGATACCCGTTGGCGCCGCCCGCCTGCAAGTTCGTGACCAGAGTATGGCATCCGAACATCTCGTCAATGACCGGAGCGATAGGTCTCGATATACTCCACACGCAGTGGTCG